CGGATTAGTAGAGGTCATTGGTGGAGCACTCTAATTATAGAGATTTTAGCAAGGGTTCCATATATAAATAAAAGGAAACAAAAGGAAACAAAACGTAAACTTTTAGAACTAGCTTGAAATACTTTTCTGTGAGACTATCTTTAGGGAAGCAAACATTTTGTTTTAGATAACAGATTGAAAATATATTTCGACAAATTTTATTAATAGTAGAAAGACGAATTGGGTTAAGCCACGGCACGCTTGGGGATCAAAGTCCTTGCGTATACAAAATGTTTTAAAGTAAAAAGAAACAATTATCTTTGTAGTGAGGCTTCAAACTCATTTGCAAAGATCTTTAAGAAAATTTACTTAATATTCGCCAAATCCAAAGCTCTTAGATGGAAAATGCGCTTCAAATGTTTAATCAAAGAAAGTTTCTTTTTGGTTTTAAGCTTCTCAATTGAAGACTAACATGAGCAGAAATAGTTGATTCAAACTTTTCAATTCTATATTCTTTATTCGATGAACTTTAAACATATTTTCAACGTCCAGACGTGGGCTTCAATAACTTATTAAAGCTTTTCACGGGCGGAAAATGGGTGAAAAGTTATATCGAAAATCTTAAGCACAAATTATGGCACGGGCAAGGCCGGGGAATGCCCGCTAGTAACATATAAAGCAAAAAAAAAGTAGCTCATATAAGAAAATCTTATCTTGAGCAACAGTTCCTATGGCAGCTATGTAATATAGTGGGTCGATCCTGTCAGATCTGATATATTATACGTAAGTCCTGCCGCATCTATGTCAAGTTCTATGAAGACAGCTTTAAAAGCAGCAAAAGATTTATGAGCATGGAAACAGACAGACGGGCACAAAATCATATTTGTTTTTCATTTGTGAAAGGTTAAAGGTTATTTGCTTCGAAGAATATAATTGTAATTCGATAGTCTTTCTATTTTTGGTGCTTGTCAATGGGAAATTCCCATTCTCGGTCGATTTGTAGTTTTGATTTCTCAGTGCATTCCCGGTGCCAAAGGTCGCCCTTGTCGCTGTCCATCAATGTCCAGCTGCGCCTTCGAGCTGACCTCCTGACCTCCTCCAGGGCACAGGCACGACATCAGGGCCGCATTTTTGGCAGAGCCAAGTATGCCGCCAGCTGGCCTCGGCCTTTAATTTACTTGGCTTGGTTTTTCCGATATCGTGTTATCGGCGCGTGCGGAAAATCGTGCGAGCCGTTTTCCGCTTTGATGTCATTTTATTGAACTTTATTGGAGCATAAAAAAGAAATGCGAAATGCTGCTGCTGCTGCTCATAAGACTCAGATGGCGCGGCTCAGATTGCAGGTGATGCGCATGCATGAACCAGGTAGAAGGGCGTGGGCGGGGGCGGCGGGGGGAGGAGGGTTGGCACATGCTGTTAACATACGTTTTTATAGCCGTAAAAAGCGCTCGCATGAATATGGATTTTTCTCCTTTTTTGTGTGGCAACTTTTCGCGCTTGTTTTCTAATGAAGCTGGAGCCGTGTCTCTGCGCGTTGCGGCTCTGTTGGATGCGTTGGACATTTTATTGGTATTGTTTTTGAAGGCTGCTGTCGGCACTCGACCTGAATGTTGTTGATGGATTACCGTGCGTTAGCCAAACAGCCGACGTTATACCCCCAAGTGCCCAACCACACTCCATGCGGAGCACGTTCCTCTCTCCATTCAATGCATCATCAAATGGACGCAAAAGCTTGACAGGCACACACGGCACAACTCGACAGCTGACAGGGCCGGTTCCCTAAAGGCATTAGATTACATTGTTTTGTATACGTTAACAGAGTTTGGCCATTAGGCAGTCGCATTCCAATTGGGAAATCCTTTTGCCAGCTCAACAAGTTCTAATTTGCGACAGAGCCGAGAGAAAAAACTCTTTTCAATCTGTTGATGGGATTATCAGAATATCGCATAAAGCTGAGCGAATATTTGGAAATATAATAATACCGAAAGCACTTCCGCCAGAATGTGGCAGAGTTGGACTTACGTTTTTGAAGGATCTTTGGTTTATAGGATATTGAGAGCAGGGATTTACAGAATTAATTCGATTTGGACTAATAGTTAAGAATTTTGACAACAAATTGTTTATTTTGAATATAAATAAGGCTTCCGATTCATCATATTTAATCTTATTTCTCTTTCGAATTCGAATTCCTATTAAAGTAAGGGAATACAAAATGGACTTACGTTCGGACAAAAGGCGAACTATCATATTGTACAAAGGAATGAACGGATGCCTAATTAAAAACAACTTCAGAGAATCACATGTCAAATAAACCTGTCCAATTTCAGCCACAATTTCGTGTACTGCAGTCGGATTTGTTGAGTGTTCCAACCAAGCCACATCAGATTTGAAAGCAGATACAGATGCACAGAGTGCAGATACAGATACAGATACAGAGATACAGATACAGATACTTAACCTCAAGTTTAATGGCAGCTGCCGTCGGTTTCTCAAGTGCTGTGTTGCAGGCAGCCTGCACTCATGCAACAAAATGTTGTGGCTTCTGTGCTGTCTAACTGTAATTTCGTCGACTGCTGCTGCTGCTGCTGCTGCAGAACATATTTGCTGGCCAAGCGGATTAAGTTTCAGCTTTGAGCGCTGCTCACAATTTGGCAACCGAGTGCTTGGCCGGGCTGTGGCTGTGGCAGTGGCAGGTTGAGGCGCCTTTTGTGGCAAATAAGTTGATTAAATGCGAAATTGTTGAGCGTAACATAAATCGCAGCTGAGCAGCAACAATGCGTACAAATTGAATTTCTATAGGGACGACTGAAAAGCACCTGAAGAAAAGCCGCTGATTTTGTTAGAGGTATACTCATGCACACACACACACACACACACACACACACACAAACGTATTCAGATTGTTTTCTTGTTGTTGGGTTTTATGACGCCATTTATGCGTTGAAATCGTATGGATTTATGAGCATCTAAATTCCTTCATTTTTTATATATTTTTCTTGGGTTTTGTGGCCCATTAAACATTGACCCTTTTTTTGGTCATAAAACGAGAGAAGTTGTTTGAACGTAAATTACGCATACGCAGCGTGTGCAGCGCCTGCAAAATACTCAAATGCTAATTGGCAGCAAGGCTGCCAACTGGGCAGGATTTTGCACACTCACACACACACACAAGCACTTAGTAAATCAATTAATTTATGCAGCACACACTCACACACACACACACACACACACGCACATGGGCGTGGAAAGAGCAGTCCGCTGGGCACACGCAACAGGAGATTCAATTACTGGCAATGCCGAGCATAGGAACAAAGAAACGAAACGCAGTATGGCGCTCGGCAGCTTATTAACTATTGAAATTGATTGGGCGCTGGGGCCGCCTATTGATGGCCGCCACTGTACTGAAGAGGTAGGGAAGTGAGCCGGGGAGCGGGGCAGCGGGAGCGGGCTATACGATATGCTAATGCCCAAGCAGCAACCCATTCTTAAAGCTCTTGTTGTTTTTGCTACCTAATCGTGCTTAATTTGCTGCAGACGAACAAAGACACCTGCGTGCCAGCCTGCAAGGGCGAGGGGGCGGGGGGGGGGGGGGGGGGGGGGGGAATGGAGTAAAGCTTTTTTTTCTTGTAGGAGTCGCTCGCCAAAAGTTCGTTGGCATTTAGCGGCTTAGGGATGTGACGGTGGCGCGGGAGAACGGCGTAACTTTCGCCGTTAAACTGAAGGTTTTTATGCTAATGTTAATGAATACCTTGTGCACAGTTCAGTTCGAACGGTACATAAATTATATAAAACAATTCTAATTACGCTTTAAAGCCGCACTTTAATGGCGTATTCTGTGCAGCTGTCACGTGTGCCAGTTACAGTTCATAAATCTTGTTACCTAATTTGCGACAACGGCACAAAAGAGCATTAAATCCTTGTTTGCGAGTCTTACATATGTGAGCGTGTCTCTCAGTGTGTGTGCGTGTGTGTGTGTTGGGGCTAAACAAATGTTTGCTGTCTAAAAGGGTTGTTTTATCTCCTGCAAATGTCACAAAGCAAAATGTAGGCCCAAAAAAAAAGGCGGACTTTAGCTGATTTCCAATTGCCATATTCTTATGCTCCATGCAGGCGGTAAATGTTTAACAAGTTTTTGTTGCAGCTGTCGCTGTTCTTTTTCATAAATAATTATATTAATAATGCTTAATTAAATGCACGTCGAATAATTAAAGCGACTGCATGTGGGGCATTTTGAATGCGCGCCAAATGTGAACGCAACGAAATGGAAACTGAAACGAATCGAGAGCCGAGCGCAATTGAGCGCGTCACAGAATGAAAGCTCTCTCTCTCTCTCTCTCTCTCTCTCTCTCTAACGCTTATCCTGGCCGCAGTGCGCTCTTTGGCGCTTTTGCTTCGGCGCCGCGCGACGATGCTGCCTGCCCGGGATTGACACACATCGCCAGGCAAACAGCTGCAGCAGCCGCAACAGTACCAAAAGCAACAACAATATATAAGTATAAAGCCGCCTGATCCCTGGCTCACATTGTTTATCTTATCAGCGCGCAGATGGCCAAATGTTAATGCTTACATAGCCAGCCGCCCACCCACACACACACACAACGCCCACAACTCAACAGCACAATTGCGCGCTTGCATTGGCTTTGAAAAATGTTTAGTTTTTTGTTTGTTTTTTTCTTCTGTTTTTGACAGTTCATAAAACAAACAAGCAAACTGTTTTTGTTTACACACTCTAAAAAGTTTGCTTTAGCGGCTCGCGCAACAGTTTTAATAGTCCCAGCAACATTTGGCTGTCCCGCAACATAGTCCAAGCCGAGCTACAAGTGTCCCTAGCGCAACATAGAGCACCCCACCCCCATGCCGCGCTCTAAAGACGTAAGTGGACACACACACACTTCGCTCACTCCCACTCTCACACTCTCTTCGTTCGCGGTCTGTTCCATTGCCAAAGCGTTGCGCTTGCCGAAGCTTTTGTGCCCATTCGTAGTGCTCGCATTTCGTTTGCCATTTCAGTTCCTCGTTGTAGTTCAAAGCGTACGGTGCGTCTAGCGGCTGCAAGAACTGGTTAAAACATTTGAAAAGGCAAAAAGTTCAACTCAGCTGAATGCGAAACGTGCGCGAAGTGAGCAGCAGCAGGCAGTCCCATTGGCCAACTGAGTGAAGTGTAAATAACTGTAGCCACCCCGCACCCCACACGACCCGCCTTCTAACTCCCAACACACACACACACAAACAAGCGTGCGTTTGTGTGCGTTTCATCTTCATCTGTTTATGTTTGGTCTTGTGTTGTGTTCTCGGTTCGATAGCGTTGTCAACCCCGCCTACTGCAACCCCCGACCCCTCCCCAGCCAGGTGTTGTCCATTAGCCACTGTAATAATATGCTTCAATTATGTGTGTGTGTGCTGCTTCTTCTTTCTTACTCATTATTAATATTATATGCCGTTTCGCTCTTAATGCCTTTCAGAATTGCAGTTATTTATTTTTTAACGGCATCCGCTGAATTCGTTCGCATTTATCATTGTCTCCGCCCTTCGCATTGCCATTCGCATTCGCATCCGCAACGGTAATCTTGCCATGTTGATGGAGATTGATATTAAAATGTCAACAATGCTTGCCAATATCCAATTCAATATATGTAAATATATATGTATGTCTGTATGCATGTGTGTCAAGTGTTATCGGCACAAAAACCAATTAGCTGTTAGCATTGCAGGCACTCAACAGCCGAGTGCCGCCCGCACCCCGCACCCCGCCTCCGCCCCGCCCACGAATCAGTGGCAATTGGTCAAACAAAAGTTTGGCGCGTGGAGCCCTTAAAAAACAAAAGCGCTGCACACTGTGCACAGTGCACTGTTTTAATTGAAAAACTTCGCCAATTGAACTTTAATAAACAACAAAAGAGACCGAGACGGGGGGAAAAAAAATTGGAGAAGAAGAAGAGTAAGGAAATACGTAAATTGTGCAGGCAACAGTCCGAGGACAAACTTCTGCAGGTTTCGCTCTAATTTTCAATTAAAAGTACCCCTCCCCGCACTCACACAGGCAAAAAAGCCAAAATGGCTGCCAGATGCATTGACCACAACAACAACAACAAGTCCTGAAGTTGTGATCCTTTAGCTTGTCCAGCTTGAGGCTGGCCCGTGCCATTGTTCTGGCAGCTTCCTGTCCGCTGCTGCTTTTCCCGTCTGTTTCCGACAGTGAAAAGCTGCCTTCGAATTTTCAGCCTGCGAGCAATTAAAATATGCATAAAATGTAAATGAGAGAAGACCACTTGGCAAAACCCTCGCCCCCACCCCGCCCCTTATCCTTCTGCTATAAAAGCGACCGTCTTACACAAATCTTGTTTAGCGCAAACGAAACAATTTTGTGCCAACTCGTGTAATTAAAGTGCAGCAGCAGCAGCAGCAACAACAATAGCAACAATAACAAAACAAAAACAAAAGGACAAGTGAATGAATCAAATTTAATTATGAGATAAACGTTAAAACAAAACAAATTAAATAACACAAACGCAAAGGAAACACATTTACAGTAAGTCTAAACCAGAATATGCAAAGTGGCGGTGAGGTGTGAAGAGGGTGGAGGGGGGGGAGGGGGGCTTGGCAGGACACGCTGCCAACTAATTTGTCCTTGTTGACCAGCAGCATCCCATTTAACAGATCAATAAAAAACGCATTCAGGCTGAAAGCGTATTTATTTTTAATCTAGCGACGCTTTTCCCGTAATTAGTTTTAGTTTGCCTGCCGCGCATGGAAATGCGGCCAATAAAGTGCCACGCCCACATGCTGTGAATGCTTTTAGCAGCCACGCGTACATATTAACCTAATTGAATAGCCATCACAGTGGGGTAGGGGGGGGGGGGGTAGGGGGTAGGGTTAGTTGTTGTGGGAGTGGGCTAAAAAGAAGCCTGGCAATTACGCAGTCTTAATGTCTCAGCCATAAACAAGGCCGCATCCTTTTTCTGTTGCGTTGGACTAAAAAAATGCGGCATTTGAAAATGTTTATGATACACGCAGCTGGCTCCGAAACATGGCCAAGGTGGCCATGTGCCATACGATTAACTGGAAAGAACTAAATTCCATTCATTTGCCATTTTTCCGGCGGCTCAGCCTTAGCCAAAGATTAGACCCGGACAAAAAGGAACAACAGAGCAAAAAAAAAGTTTGGGCCAAGTCGCCTTTTTTTTTGTTGCTTTACAGTTAATTACAAGTTGCTGCGGCAACTTTAACTTCGGCAACGTGCCACAAACAAAGGCACAAACAGCAAAGTATATACACATATATAACTATACCCATATACATATCGCATATATATGCCATACACCATATATATGTATATATATATGTATATGCGTCTTGATACTGGCGCATTTTGGCATTTATGTGGCATGAAATAAGTTTGCAGCGCCATTAATAAACGTGCCACAATGATACTCTACATATGAACAATGCCGCAGCGGGTGTCCTAACGTGCGCGTGCCTCAGTGTGTGTGTGTGTGTGTGTGTGTGCCTGAGTGCGTGGGCGTGGCACATGCGGCGACGCTTCTAATTAGAGCTCCGGCAAGCAGTTGATGAGGGTAAATTGGCAAATAATTAATCGCCGGTTAATTAAGGACTTACATGAGCCAACGCCGTAGCCAGCTCCACCTCGTCCCCCTCCTCCTTCTCCACCCCGCCCCTTGCTGCCAGCCTTCAGCTTTAAGGCTGGTTATTTGCTAATTAAAAAGTATTTAAAAGGAATAGTGCAAAAAGAATTTTTTAAATATAATTACAGGCATGAACGCACATAAATGCAATATTAAAGTTTGCATGCATTTTGTCCGCTTGGTTAATCTTTAAGTTCAGTTCTTGGTTAGAAATTTTTTGCAATTTTACAGACATGGAATTTGATATGCTACCTAAGCTGGAAATTTCCGGAAAATCTATCTGATCAAAAATGTTATAATAGAAATATTTTTTTATCTTCAAAGAAATAAATTCCTAAGAAACATGTTCAGATACAAACCAAAACTACTAAAATTACTAATAATTATAACAAATTTTATTTTATATGGCACTAAAGCTGGAAAAACTTCCAGAAAAAGTTCCATTCTGATCAAAAATTTAATAATAGAAGTCTTTGCTGTTAGCTTCGAAAAGATATATACCTAAAAAGAAGTTCAGATAGAAACAGAAACTGCAATAATTGTAAATTATTATTAATAAGTTTATTTTATATGGCACTAAAGCTGGAAACTTCTAGGAAATATTCCATTCAGATCCTTAATTTAAAAATATGCATCCTTGCTTTTATCTTCAAAGAAATATTTAGATTAGAAAATTCTTAAAAAGAAGTTCAGAAACAAGCCCAAACTACAATAACTATAAATTTTTAAAAATTATTATTATATATTATTATTTTAACTTATTATTATATATTATTATTATATCATACTATTATAATATTTGTTATAATAGCGTCTCTTAAAAAGAAATGAAAGTAGCTACATTCATGAATTTAAAACAACAGCTTTACGGCCTCATAAACTAGTCAAATGAATAAACAATTTGCTTTGAATGAAGTATTTTTCGCAAATCCATAAATGTCAATGAAATAATATCTTACACGAGCTGCCATGCATTGCAACTATCTATAGGGTATATCTGCGAATTAGTGAAATATTTGCAATTTATTTCGTTGGCCGACTCGGCGTATGCGTAATTTTTATATGCGCGGCTGTTGTTGCTGTCTCTGAACTTTGTAAACATTGAATACTTGTTTATATTTGCATGCGCAATTTTCAATGCTTCAGACACACTCGCACACCCACACACACACCCACACACACACACACACACACAGTAAGACCCTCATCTTTAAAGCATCTTTTTTTTTATTGTTTTTCGTTCGTCTTTATTGTTGCGTTTGTTGTCCGTCTGCACAGTTTAAGGTCGCATAGCCATTCATTTTTTGAGCAATTCCTGTCGCTCGCTGTTTTAACACACACTCGAATTTGATATTCATTGAAACTATAAATCTTTTATGAGCAGTCGCTGCAGCTTAGCTGAGTCACATGCCATCCGCCATCCGCTCGGCAAATGTTGTTTTCCACAAAATTTTACCCAATCAGCTGCGGCCGCTTTTCGCCTAAATACTTAAAACTGAATATGTTGGCCTTGGCGGGGTTCGTTCTTTTTTTCTTTCTTTTTTTCCTTTTCTTTAAGTCAATTTGAATGTTTGTTCGAGTAGTTCGCAGAGCGGTAATAATTTTATTGCATCCGCATTTTGCTCAATGTTTTGCAATACTCAGAGTGTAAACAGTTCGAGGGAAATGAATTTTCAGCAAATACTCGCATTTGAAGTGGAAAACGCTTTGCTCAAAAAGTTTAGATAATGCTTTCAACAAACAAAAACTATAAATAAATATTGATTTATAACGTGAATACAAACTAAAATAATGAGTTCCCTTTAAGTTTCTCTATTTACCATATTTATATTTATATATATTTCTATATATATTTTTCAAGCACAATTCATGATAATAAGCTAAGTTTTGCTCGAAATCAGATGATAAACTGATGACTGACATTTGAATGATTTTATTCATTACTTGGTGCATCAAAAATGTTATCTAGTTAATATATTTTTTTTTATAGATTATCTGTAATATGTACCGACTCGTTGAGTATTTCTGTTCAAAACAAATAAACACATGCTCTCTAATAAGGGCCTAATGAACTCGACAAACATATCAATCACGAGTCGAACTTCAGCTAAGCGTCAAGATAGTTTTTTATGAGCGCTATATATACTATATAAACTATATTGTAGAGTTCATTATCGCATAGCATTGAGCTCTTAGTTGAGCGCTTGTTGAAGATATCTTGAAAATGAAAGGGTTGTCAAAAGTAGGTTGTGATAAAGTACGCCAAACTGGGCATACGGACAGACAGACGGACGGAGGGACAGACAGACATCTCTAGATCGACTCGGCTGTTGATGCTGATCAAGAATATATATACTTTATGGGATCGGAGATGCTTTCTTCTGCCTGTTACATACACTTGCACAAATACATTATACTCTTTTTACCCATTTTCAATGGGTTCAGGGTATAAACATAATTCAAAGAGATACTTATTGTATTTCTAGTATTCAACGTAGTATGTCAGCGGCAAAAGGTGGAAGCTCTTTAGATCTTATAGAAGGCTCAAGAAATTTGTAGAACAGAACTGAATTGAGGTACTTTTAAAACAAGTAAAAATACAATTAATTAGATAACACAAATGAATTTTAAGGCAGCCGCCATTTATTAAAAAATAAATATAAATATAAATTTTATTTTACTTAGTATCAATTTTTTAATACTAAAATATATTTTATTTAGAACTGATTAACTCTTTTTTATACTCAACTTTTTAATACTTTTTTTAATGATTTTATTTATTTTATTTATTTATATACATTTAATTTCCTATTAATTTTAATGAATATTTTTAATGTATTCCGAGCTCCTGCTACAAGTACCTTAAAAAATTCGACATATTTTAATAAATCGAATTTTTTTTTAAATTCCAAATTTTGTTTGTTCTTTACACAAAGGTCTCTCGTATAGCGCGAACACATTTATTTTTGTGCTCTTCAAGCATTTTAATTCGCAGCACTCTCAGCTCCATTCTCACTCTCACTCTCGCTCTCTCTTTCGCTCTTTCGCTGTCTCACATTCTCAGACAGTTTCTCTGAGTAATCAAATTGTTTTCGGGTGCACCAATTAAGTAAAGTGGGGCCTCTATAGGTCTTTTTTTTTTTTTTTTTTCATTTGTTCGCAATGTTTGTGGCTCTGTCTGCGGCTCACATGGCGTATGAGTAATGCGCTCTAAAGCATTTATCAGCGCGTATACACAAACACACACGTACTTTAAATGCAAAGTGAGCGCATAAAGTTAAAAAATAAAGGTAGGCACGCACACGCACACGCACAGCCTGGCGAGTGTCCTTCAACATGCGCCAGTGTGTGTGTGTGAGTGTGTGCGTGTTGCGGGTTAGCTGGGATAAGCAGAGTGCTGCAAAGTGCTATAAATCAACACTCGAACCACTTAATAAAAGGCAACGCCATTAGACAACAGCAACAGCAGCCGCCGCAGCCGCCGCAGCAGCGTTGACGTTGCACGTAACCCGCTGCCACAACTCAAAACAATGTCATACACACACACACACTCGCACACACTCGCACTCGCACACACTTCAGCCACGGCAAGAGTGCAAAATTTTTCGCGTTTTTTCATAATGAATTATGGCAGACAAAACAAAAGCTGGAAAAACAGAATACCAAAAATCTATGAGGTGGGAGGGGAAAGTGGGGCAGGAGGAGGAGGTGGAGGGGGGGGAGTGCTTGGGGCTGCAGTGCCAAAAGTTGATGGAATAAAAATTATTAACAAATGCTGACAGCTTGTGTAAACAAGCGCCACCAAATGGCCGCCGAAAATTTGCTGTACGCCAAATTGTGGGCGCTTTGAGTGCCAGGGCGGTGAGTGTGGCTTTTTTCGAGGGGG